GGTTAATAGAGAATAATAATGAAAAAAAGTGCAGTATACTAATTTTGACAAGGTGAACTTACCTTTGCAAATTTTATTTTGTTTTATATAGAAAATTAAGAGGATTATCACAATAAGAGAACCGGCCAACAGTCCTCCGAGTATAATCACATGGGGGTCTGYTCCTTGTCCTAAATGAGAAGATTAGTGTCACAAACTTAATGTTTAATATATTTTTTTTAAAAATTTAAAAAAAAAAAAAAATTTTTTTTTTTTTTTTTAAAAATGGGGAAAACAAATCAGAACTGACTTTAGGTTTTTAACTCATGGAAAATAACTCAAAGGAACTCAAAGAACCAGATGACCAAWAATTCCATCTGCTCACATTTTATGCATTTCTATTGAACAAATCTCTGTGTGCATGTTGACTTAAACACAATTGTAAAAACATACTTGTCTTCAAGTTTGTTCCTTCAGCAAACAGATCTGCTCCACATGTGACAACAGCACATAGGTGGGCTCCATTTTCATAGGAGTCTCGTACAGAAAAACTGTAAGAGCAACTTCTCTCCACATCTTCATCACTGATGTTCCTCTGAATGTAAAGGATGGCTGGATGAAATCCTTCTGGTTTCGTTCTGAACCAGTATGCACTGTGTCCAGCTGAACAGAGGACGTTAGTTTCGGAGCGAACATCAGAACACTGGAGAGTTATCAGGTCTCTCTGCTGAACAAACTCAGTCTTCCAGCTCTGTTCAGTGTTAACAGATTTCTGCTGCTTGGGGTCTGAATGGTAGAGAAGGTATTTAAAATCCTAAATTTATTGAGTACAATAACGAAGTGAACAGCAAATGAGAKAGAACCACACCTTACCGTTCACAACTAAAAACGTGGCGTTGTTGAATTTCTGTGAAAACGTTGTTCCAGCGTGACAAAAATATGTMGCTTCATCCTCTTTGCTGACGTTAGATATCGTAAGAAAACGCCAAGATTGCTCTGATGTTGATGTGAAGCGTGAACCTTTAAATTTGTCATTTGTTGTCTCTCGACCGAGAATCAGACTGATCACTGGTTCGACCATTCGTCCAAGAGGCTGCTTATACCAGTGAATGAATTTAAGGTCTTGTTCAGGGATACAACAGTTAAAAGTAACATCATCACCAAGGTTGACTACAGTCACAGCAACRGGGTCAGAAACTGCAGCAACTTGGAAAGTAGCTGTGAAAAAGGAAAATAAACACTATCACTCCAGAGTTACAAACACAGATTTTAAAGGGAAATAAGCACAGCATGTGTTGACACGCCAACAGTAATTCTTTCAAAGCCTTTTTTTCTCTATGCAGTAATTGTACTTACACAGTGTAATAAGAAGAACTCCAGCAGCTGGTCCTACGATCATTGTTGTACAGCCTGTTATTCTCARACTACTGATAGCATCTTGCCCAAATGGAAGGTTCAGTTAAGAAGTGATCAAAGTTTCCAAATCACAACAGTGTGATTGGCTGAAACARTGAAGATGAACAACCCACTGCACACTGTAAACCTGCGGCGCATGCTCATTCAGCAAGATATGTACAGTAGATGCTATAATTACCTTTGCTTAAATATTAAAATACAATTTGTTATTTGGTAAATAAGTGCTGAGGTTGGTACCAAGCTTAATAAAACAATGTTTTAAAAATTAAATACATTTACTTGTTTAGAAAATAAATACAGTAAATAAAGATGAAGTACTCTAACCTTGCCCATCTGTAAAGATTTCTTGATTTTGATTGCTCATTTTTTAAAGTAAGCTGGTTTTCTCCAGACTAAAAACATGCATATAAGATTCAAAGATTCAAAGTGTTTATTGTCATATGCACAGATGAAAAACATGTTTCCCTGAGCAATGAAATTCTTACTTTGTCGTCCATTTTTGAATGCCGAGAGATAACCATATTAAAAAATGAATCATCACTGAAAGGACACAATGGTGATTAATTAAAAAAAGAGACTAAACTAAGGATAATAGCATCAGAAAGGAACAATATAATAATGACAACAAAAAGGGAACTGTACAATCTGTTTTAAAGTGTAATGTGCAAATGTGCAACAGGTAAGTCTGAAATGTGCACATGTGCAATAGTAATAGTCAGAAGAATGTCACATTCAGCTGTTTAAAAGTCTGATGGCACTTGGGGAAAATGAGTTCTTGTATCTGGAGGTTCTGCATGTCACACTTCTGTACCTCCGGCCGGTGGGCAGAGTTGTGAATAGTCCATGCTGGGGGTGGGTTGAGGCTGCTCTCCTGAGGGCCCTGCAGTGGTAGATGCTCTGCAGAGAGGGCAGTGATGACCCTGTGATCTTCTCAGCAGTTTTTACCACTCTCTGCAGGCGTTTGTGGTCCATAGTGGTGGTAAGGTTGATTGTAACAAAATGTCACTAAGTCTCAGTGAGAGAGCAAGTAGTTGTTTGTCTCATTTGTCTGTTCACGACCCTGTGATGGACTWATGATCTGTCCAGGGTGTCCCCGCCCCTCACATAGTGACTGATGGACATGGACACCAATGACCAATCTATGCCAGAATACACAAGCCCCATGTCATGACTGTGTTACCACCGGCACTCCACTCAGGGCCCCAGTTTGCTACCATACATAATGTGGAGTCTACTACATTTTTAGTTTACCTTTGATGATAAGTTTATGAGTCTYCAAAAAACATTTGCTTTAGCTAAATGATTGTTCTACTATAAGTGGAAATAAAGGATCACTTTAAGCTGATAGAATAATAAAATAACAAAATAACCCTGAAGAAGATGGTTGTAACATAACTGCTGCACTAATTCAGATTACTGTAAACTGGCTTGATGAATTAAGAAAAAAAAAAAACTAGCTAACTATGCAATAATTTGTAAACTTAAAAACGTAACGTTTTTAATCATCCAAAGCCATGTTTGAGGAAAGGTTTGTGGAACTAAGTGAAGAAACTTCAAGTTTACTTTCTAAGTAAAGGAGTGGTGATTGCTGCTTGTGTCTTGCAAAACTTAGACCACAAACCCACGCCTCACCTCCCATGAATTCAGCAGCGTGCCTTTTTCATTATTTTGAATTTTATGTGAACGACAGTTCTYCTGAGATAGAATGGTAATGTATCTAAGGTTGCTTTGTGTGTGTTTCAGTTTAGCAAGAATATGTGTATTATAACAAGCATAGCTGCATGGAACAATGTGCCACGTGTGTGTGTGTGTGTGTGTGTGTGTGTGTGTGTGTGTGTGTGTGTGTGTGTGTGTGTGTGTGTGTG